GTTGTTATCGACAACTTTTCTATATACGAGAATAAGTTTGTATCAACACATATCACCTGCGGAAATATTGTTATCGATAACATTTCTATGCGTAGAAATTATTCTATATTATTTTTCTATTGGGGAAGATTGCGATCGATAACTTTTCTATTTCGTTTCCTGTTATCGTACACTTTTTTCAGAAATTTTGTTATCAGTTTGAAATAAATGGAAATTTAAATAAAAATATATAGAGAATGGTTTTGGGTATTTGTGATTTGGATTAAGCAAATATTCTTTTGTTAGGCCAACTTTGAATCCTACCGAGCATTGAAAGTAAAGGGACTTGGAAAATGCCAGATTTCTAGATTAAGAAAATATTTCAATTTAAAAATGAATATTAAAATTTTTAATTTTGTAAAATTTCCATAATTTTTGTATAAATTTTATTTGTATATATATTTAAAGGGAGGGGAGGGATTTGTAAAATTTAGTTAAATTTTTGCGCTTATTTATTTATTTATTTTTTTCATATAAAATATTTAATATTAGTCAAGATTAGTTTATGCTATTAATATTTATTTGTATATATATTTATTCAGTAGTAGTCATTGTTTATAATTTTATTATTTTTTGTTGTTTTTTTATTAATTATTTTTTAATCAATTATTTTTATGTTTTATATATATAAAAAGCATTGCATGCCCACTAAAGTTTTAGTTAGTTTATTTTTTATTTTTATTATTTATTTATTTTTTTCATATTGTTTTCTTAGTCCTTAGTTTTATGAGTTTTGTAATAAAAAAATTAAAAATTAAAACAAAAAAATTATATAAAATTTTATGGCTTCTTTTTCTTGTGTATATAACTATTTGGAACAATACCTTATTTGTATTTCATTCATTATTATTTTATTTATTTTTTTTTTATAATTATTTTAATTTTTTATATATAGTAACCATACCATATTAAATATTGAAAAATACCATACTTATATATTAAATATTTTTAATTTTTGTTTGTTTTTTTTCACGGAGAGAAATCTCCATATATAGTTGTTCTTAAATTGGCAGGTTTTTTTTTTTTTAAATCAGAATTTCGAAAATATTTTTTTAATAAAATATTTCAATATTTTATATTAATTTTTTTAATATTTTAATATTTTTTATAAATAAAAAATGTATTTCATATACATTAACACTTTGAATACACCCAATATTTATTTAGTATAATTTACATTTTCAAAATTAAGCAAATTCACATTTTTTTCAAATTTCAAAATATTTAAAAAAAAAGTGCCTTTTTCAAAATTTCAGTTGTTCCCTTAACAGACATTCAAAGTTTTTTTATTAAAAAAAAATCAAAAATATTTATTTAAAAAAATCAAAATAAAACAAATGTTATTTACCACTGCGCCTTAAAATAGGCAACAATTTTCTTCCAGAAATCTTGTTCTATCAAATTTTATTCAAATTAATAATATTAAATTTTTAAAAATTTTAAAAATCCATTATTTAGAGGTCGCTTGAATAACCTTTTTATAAAAACCCTGGGTTGGTCTGGTCCCCTTATAGAGGCCTTCAAAAACCCCTAGATTAAGATTAAAGAATTTTCGGTTGAGAATGTGTTCTATGTAGATTATAAAAAATATCAAAGAGTGGGTTTGAGCCCCCTAAAATCGGTTTTAACGCTACAAAATATTTGAAAAGGGAAGCTATGCCAAATCGAGGATCTACTTTGAACATTGGATCCCTTGACCCACGTAATTAAAATTTGTTGAACACATCGTTTATACTTGGCTCTATAGCGGGCCAATGTTATCCAAAAATGTATTCCTCATGAAATTTTACTATAGCTCCCCGAAGATACCATAACTCTGACGTGGAAAATAAAGAGATAAGCAATAAAATTTAGACCATTTTAAATTGCAGGCCAAATTTTTCGATAAAACCCCAGTTTACAGATTAGTCTCCAATGGAGAAAATCTTCCCAATCAAATTTCAATCTAAGCCTCCGAACAAAAGAAATCTGTAGCTCTAATATTTATTGTGAAAAACACACAAACAATTTTTGGGTATAAAAACAAAAATCATTTTTAAAAGGTTTTTGAGGTTAGTTCTGAATTTCGAGGAATTTTTGAAGAGTGCTTCATTTTAGAGTGCTGGTGTCAAGGGAATAATTATTCTCCATCAAATTTCACTATGGGTCACCCAACAAATGATAGCTGAGAAATGAATAGAAAGTCTGAAAATATTGTAAATCATATTGGCAAAAGAAACAAAAAATATTTGTTTGTATTTTTGAGGTGAACTTTTATAATACGAACGATTTTCCCCCAGTGCCTCATTTTAGGAGGGTAATGCCAAAAGGAAAAATATTCTCTATCAAATTTCACTAAGGGTCACCAAACAAATAAAATCTATAGTTGTAACAGATATTGTAAAAATATCGGTATTGAATTTAGTTTTATAAAAATTGTATTATTTTCGGGTATATCTTTAAATTTTAGCCAAATTCTCCCACAAAATGGCATCTGAGGGTGGTGAGGTCAAGGAGAAAAATATTACTCATCAAATTTTACTATAGGTCACTGAACAAAAGAAACCTGTAAAATTAATAGGAATCGTGAAAATATCACAAAACAAATTTGATTTCAAAAATCAAAAATGAGTTTTACATTTTTTGAGGTTAGTTCTGAATTTCTCGAGTTTTTTTCTGAGAGCTTCATTTTAGAGGGGTGAAGTCAAGGGAAGAATTATTCACAATTAAATTTCAGTTTTGGCCACCATACATATGAAACCTGTAGATGTAATGTATATCCAAAAAAAAATGGGTATAAATTTGAGTTCCCTCAAAAATTGTATTATTTTCTGTATTCCTATAAATTTGCCAAATTCTCCCTTCAAACTTTATTTTAGAGCAATGCAGTCAAGAGCGGAAATATTCCTCATTAAATTCTACTATAGGTCACCGAAGAAGAGAAATTTGTAGATATAATAAGAATCTTGAAAATATCACAAAACAAATTGGGTTACTAAACAAACCAAAATTACTGATTTTGGGGTTACTTTCGAATTTCGAAAATTTATTTCTGAATGCTGAATTTCACCATAGGTCACCATACAAATGAAATCCGTAGATATAATACATATCGAAAAAAATATGGGTATCAATTTTAGTTGCCATCAAAAATTGTATTATTTTCGGTATATCTTTGAATTTATTACAAATTCTCCCCTCAAACTTTATTTTAAAGCGATGCATTCAAAAGGGGAAATATTCCTCATCAAATTCCATTATGGGTCACCGACCAAATGAAATATGTAGGACTTATAGAAATCTTTAAAATATCACAAAACAAATTTGGGTTCCCTCAAAAATTGTATTATTTTCGGATTTTCTTTGAATTTATGCCAAATTCTCCCTTCAAACTTTATTTTAGGGCGAGGCAGTCAAGGGAGGAAATATTCCTCATTAAATTCTACTATAGGTCACCGCAGAAGAGAAATTTGTAGGTATAATAAGAATCTTTAAAATATCACAAAACAAATTTGGTCGTAAAAAATCAAAAATTACTTGTACATGATTTTGAGGTTAGTTTCGAATTTCCAAATTTTTTGTCTGAATGCTTCATTTTAGAGCGGTGAAGTCAATGGAAGAATTATTCTCCATCGAATTTCACCATAGGTCACCATACAAATGAAATCCGTAAATATAATACATACGAAAAAAATATGGGTATATATTTGAGTTCTCTCAAAAATTGAACAATTTTCGGTATTTCTTTGAATTTATTACAAATTCTCCCCTCAAACTTTATTTTAGAGCAATGCAGTCATAAGGGGAAATATTCCTCATCAAATTCTACTATAGGTCACCGATCAAATGAAAGATGTTGGACTAATAGAAATCTTGAAAATATCACAAAACAAATTTGGGTTCCCTCAAAAAGTTTATTATTTTCGGGTTTTCTTCGAATTTATCCCAAATTCTCCCTTCAATCCTTTTTTTAGAGTCTTGCATTCAAGAGGGGAAATATTCCTCATAAAATTCTACTATAGGTCACCGGCCAAATGAAAGATGTAGGGCTAATAGGTATCTTGAAAATATCATAAAACAAATTTCGTCACAAAAAATCAAAAAATATGATTTTGAGGTTTTTTCCTAAATGCTTCATTTTAGAGGGGTGAAGTCAAGGGAAGAATTGTTCTCCATCAAATTTCAATACTGGTCACCATACAAATAAAATCTGTAGATATAATACATTTCAGAAAAAATATGGGTATCAATTTAAGTTCCCTTTAAAAATTGTATAATTTTCGGTATTTCTTTGAATTTATTACAAATTCTCCCTTCAAACTTTATTTTAGTGCGATGCAGTTAAGAGAAGAAATACTCCTCATCAAATTCTACTATAGGTCACCGAACAAATGAAAGATGTAGGGCCAATAGGAATCTTGAAAATATCATAAAACAAATTTCGTCACAAAAAATTAAAAAATATGATTTTGAGGTTAGTTTCTAATTTCGAAATTTTTTCTTTGAATGCTTCTTTTTAGAGGGGTGAAGTCAAGGGAAGAATTGTTCTCCATCGAATTTCACTGCAGGTCACCATACAAATGAAATGTCTAGATATACTGCATATCAGTAAAAAATTGGTATTAAATTGAAAAATATAAAAATTGCAGCATTTTGTATATCCTTTTTAATTTAAGCCGAATTCTAACCCAAAACTGCATCTGAGAGGGAAGAAGTCAAAGTAGAAAATATTCCCTATCAAATTTCACTATGGGTCACCGCACAAAAGATGTCTGTATATGCAAAATATAACGCAAGATTAGCGGATTTGAAATTAATTTATGAATTCTTTATTGCCAATTAGGCTCCATATTTGTATATGATCTTGAATTCAAAACAAATTGAAATTCCCAATTTGAATAGTATTTGACATTATGATGAGAATTAAAAATATAAATTAATTTTCAGGTTTATTTTAAACAATGAGGCCAATTCATAATTCGTTTTTTTGTTTTTAATTTAAAATAAAAATTTTATTGCATATTTTGTTTTATTTTTCCAAAAATCAAAACTAATTTAATTTTGAAGAAAAACATGTGGTTAGGCCATTTTAATTAGCCAAAAAAAGTATATATAATTAAAATCCATTTAAAAATAATTCTAAATTATTTATCATTATTATTATTACAACTGTGTATATAATTATAGAAATGTGTATAATTTGTATAAATTTAGGTATATGCGGGGGTGTATAATTTTACAAAAAAATCATTAAAATAAAAACTTTCTTTCATATATTTATATGGTTAGTTTACAATTCGAAAAGGAACTTAACTTAGAACATAAAGAGACGACAGGTATATAGATAGGTGGTTGGGTGGGCAGGGGAGGTTTGAATGCCCCCCGCCGCACCCACGAGTTTGTTTTGCAATTTAACGATTCGATTTATATTTTGATTAAATTTTTTTTTGTTCTATTCTAAAAAATTATTAAAATTTAGTTTGAATGCCAGCAAAGGTTTGTTTTGCAAATTTATCGATTCGATTTTTCTTAATTTTTTTAAATTTACTTTTTAAAATACAATCTTTCAAAGCACTTTTTTTAAATACTTAAAAATCTATGAATCTATAATTTTTGGGTTTTGTAAATCAAAAAAAAAAGATGCGCCAAAAAATTCGATTTTTTCTCTAGGACCGCCGCTTTGCTATTTTTCTTGTTATTGGAAGCTGTTACTCCTGGCCCTCCTTTTCATGGTTTGCCTTTGATTATTTCTGCCAAAAACCCCGTGCCCTAAAGCACTGGCCCAGAAAAGACTAAACACGGTGTGTCAAATGTGTTGAATCGCTTCGTTTGGGTGGTGGAGGCGGTGGTCGTTTGTTGCGTTTGGCCATATCCTGGGCCGCCGCTGCTGCTGCCGCTGGATTATGAACGCCGGCGGCTGTGGCTACTAATGGTGGTGGAGGTGCTGGCAGCTGGCCATATTGTTGCGAATCCATTGGATTCACTACACCGCCCGCCGCCGCAGCATTTGCATTGTTCGCGTGTATATTCTCATAGAGGGCATACTCATTCAATGGCGGCGGTTCACAGGCCACACCAGCTCCATAGTGTTCCTGCACCCAATTGCTTACATTGGCCGTCTCCCGATAAAAATGAGAATTCGAATTGAGATTGTGGGCCAGCAACTCCTCTGAGGAGAAATCACGGAAACCCAAAACTTCATGGGGTGTGGTGGCCGGTTCCAGTTTACATTTCTGGGCCACCTGCCATTTTTTACGCATTACCCTCTGCAGATCTTTGAGGAAATCTCTGGGAGGATTGGAATTCGATTCCTGCAGACGTTTGGGGGAACCATAATCCTGTTGGGACACCGATGAAATGGTTGAAGAACAATTTGAAAGCCGTGTGAGATCATTTCTTGGTGGCGGTAGTGGGCCGGGGGAATAGAAGGGTTCCTGCGGTTCTGGGGAGTGCATTTTCCGTCTCAGCAGTACCGGGGAATCGGCAAAGCTGACCTTTTTCTGTGTGGGTGGTGGTGGAGGTGGTAGGGAGTGGTTCATTTGTTGGCCGCTGGGCGCCACTACCGTGCCCTTGTAGTCTGGGGGATTTTTATAGGGTGGTGCTGCCTTAACGGCCGGCTTTATGGGCTTGGCTGGCACCGCTGGTGGTGGTACCTTGTGATTTCCAGGCTGGCCGCCGACAATTGAATAAATACCATTTGGATTGTTGCCGGTAGGTGTTGTTGGCGTCATGGCCACCTCCTCGGGCGGTGGTGGTGGCGGCAGTGATACCAAGGACAACTGGGAACCATATACATCCTGCTCAACTTCATTTAAGGCTGCTGGTGGCGGTGGTGGTGGCAATGAGTCCAACGACAAGGTGGAACAACTCATGGCATCCGCCGCCCCGGTCACAACATTATTCAAAACCGAAGGCGGTGGTGGTGGCAATTGGCTATCCTGGCCATAGCTGGAACTTACCACCAAAGGTTTGGCGCAAATGCTGGGCGTGGGAGTCGGGGTTGAATTCGAGGAACCCGATGAATTATTGGCATTCATGCTCTCCGCCGAACCCCTCTTTGTAAGGCCTGTCATTATGGCAGCAGTGGCGGCCCCAGCGGGACGTCTTTTCAGGGTGCCACTACCATTGGATTCTTGGGATTTACGGCGACTATGGCGCCTTGTCAGAGTTCCACTGTGTTCTGGCGAAGTATTATTCAAATCCTCATTATCTGCCTGTGTGTTCTCCCCCACCTCCTTCAGTTGCCTCGTCATTGTGGTCAGCGGTAAATTGGGTTTCATCGAAGGTTTGCGTTTGATTGTGCCCGTGGTAAATTCCGAATCAAAGCCATTATTATCATCTGACAAACAACCACTAGAGGAAGATGAGGAGGCCCTTGACACCCGACCACCACTTGAGGCCGACATACTGGATATGGCCGAAGAGACACTGCCACACTGCGAAGGTACCGCCGAAGAAATGCTGCTAATCGACTCGCTGCGCATGGATACGGCAAAGCTGCTCTGCGATATACCATCTCCGCCCATGGTCAACTCTTCCATCAGGCCCTTGTGATTATCCCACAACTGCTTGCCATACTTTGCCACCCGAATGGCGGTCAACCATTTTTCCATTGTCTCCAAATCCTCGGCGCAAAGCATTTTCAATGTCCGACATGATTTACCCAAACTAGAGTCCACAGCTGATTTAAAACCAAAGGTGTAATCTGTCGGGGCCTTCCATTTCTTGCGCCAGCCCAGACCGCGATACACATTGTAGCCATTGAAGAGGGTCAGGCACATTAGATCCCTTACATTTTTGGTTTTCTCTTTGGGAAAATAGTAAAGGCCTGAACTGCGCAGCACAAAATGATAACGTTTCCAACCCTTTTTCGGATCAGCTTTCATGTAGAGTGGTCCATCGACTTGTATCTCCGTATTGGTTTCGAAAAATTCCTCCAGCAACATGGAACGGGTGTGTTCATCATGTTGACTGCCCGGTGCCATTTGGGGGCCGGGTAAATACAATTCGGGGCGTATGAAGAGGGACACCTTATCGGAACGTTGTTGAAACAGTACACGATTGCCAGCATCAGAATTCCAGGTCATCAAATTGTCCACCAACAGCTCATGGTCCTCGAAAAGACGTTCTGAAAAAAGGAGAGTGTTAATAAAGATTTTCATCATTTTTAAGAAAAAAAAAAGGGGATTCAAAGCAAGCTGAGGGGCGGAGGGCAACAAATAAGTTTCCATACAAAATTGAAGGAAGTTTCCAAGACAAAAACTTCCAAACTTTTCCTAGCAAAGCAAAAAAGTTCATCCAGGATTTCTTGCGAGCCAAACAAATTTGGTTATAAAAAAATCACATTTTTTGTATGTTTTTGAGGTTAGTTACAAATTTCAAAGATTTTTCCTTTAGATCTTCATTTTAGGGCATTGATGTCAAGGGGAAAATTATTCTCCATCAAATTTCACTATAGGTCAGCGAACAAGGGAAATATATAGGTATTATATATATCGTGGAAATGTCGTAAACAAATTTGGCTAGTATACTTTAATGAAAAATAAATATTTTGTTTCATGTTTTTGGGGTTAGTTACGAATTTTGAAAGATTTTTCCTCAGAACTTTATTTTAGGACATTGATGTCAAGGGGAAAATGGTTCACCATCGAATTTTACTATAGGTCACCGAACAAAAGAAATCGATAAGTATAACAGAGATCGCGAAAATATTCCACACGAATTTGATTATAAAAACCAGAAAATATTTTGTACATATTTTTGAGGTTAGTTACGAATTTTGAAAGATTTTTCCTCAGGGCTTGATTTTTGGACTTTGATGTCAAGGGAAAAATTGTTCTCCATCAAATTTCACCATAGGTCACAGAACAAAGGAAATCTGTAGGTATCATATATATCCTGAAAATATTGCCTACAAATTTGATTTAAAAAAAAAAAACAAGAAAATATTTTGTACATGTTTTTGAGGTTAGTTGCGAATTTCGAAAGATTTTTCCTTAGGTCTTCATTTTAGGACATTGATGTCAAAGGGAAAATTGTTCTCCATCAAATTTCACTATAGGTCGTCGATTAAAAGATATCGATAAGTATAACAGAGATCGCGAAAATATTGCATACAAATTTGATTATAAAAACAAGAAAATATTTTGTGCATGTTTTTAAAGTTAGTTCCTAATTTTGAAAGATTTTCCCTCAGGGCTTGATTTTTGGACTTTGATGTCAAGGGGAAAATTATTCTCCATCCAATTTCACTATAGGTCACCAAACAAAGGAAGTCTGTAGGTATCATATATATCGTGAAAATATTGCATACGAATTTGATTATAAAAACAAGAAAATATTTTTTATATGTTTTTGAGGTTAGTTACGAATTTGGAAAGATTTTTCCTCAAATCTTCATTTTAGGCCATTGATGTCAAAGGGAAAATTGTTCTCCATCAAATTTCACTATAGGTCACAGAACAAAGGAAATCTGTAGGTATCATATATATCCTAAAAATATTGCCTACAAATTTGATTAAAAAACAGGAAAATATTTTGTGCATATTTTTGAGGTTAGTTACGAATTTTGAAAAAAATTTAATCAGATCATCATTTTAGGGCATTGATGTAAAGGGGAAAATTGTTCTCCATCAAATTTCACTATAGGTCACAGAACAAAGGAAATCTGTAGGTATCATATATATCGTGAAAATATTGCCTACAAATTTGATTTAAAAAACAAGAAAATATTTTGTACATGTTTTTGAGGTTAATTCCGAATTTTGAAAGATTGTTCCTCACATTTTCATTTCAGGGCATTGATGTCAAGGGGAAAATTGTTCTCCATCAAATTTCACCATAGGTCACAGAACAAACGAAATCCGTAGGTATCATATATATCGTGAAAATATTGCATAAAATTTTCATTATAAAAACAAGAAAATATTTTGTGCATGTTTTTAAGGTTAATTCCGAATTTCGAAAGATTTTTCCTCTGGGCTTGAGTTTTGGACTTTGATGTCAAGGGGAAAATTAATCTCCATCGAATTTTACTATAGGTCACCGAACAAAAGAAATCGATAAGTATAATACCTATCGTGAAAAAATAGCGTACGAATTTGATTATAAAAGCAAGAAATTAATTTGTACATGTTTTTGAGGTTAGTTCTGAATTTTGAAAGATTTTTCCTCAAATCGTCATTTTAGGCCATTGATGTCAAAGGGAAAATTGTTCTTTATCAAATTTCACTACAGGTCACCGAAGAAAGGAAATCTGTAGGTATTATATATATATCATGGAAATATTGCATACAAATTTGCTTATAAAAACAAGAAAATATTTTATGAATGTTTTCGAGGTTAGCTCCCAATTTTAAAAGATTTTTCCTCAAATCTTTATTTTAGGCCATTGATGTCAAAGGGAAAATTGTTCTTTATCAAATTTCACTACAGGTCACCGAAGAAAGGAACTCTGTAGTTGTAATTCATATCGCAAAAATTGCGATATCAAATTCTAATTAATAAAAATTGTATTATTTTTTATATCTCTTCAAAAATTAACTAAATACATTCCTAAAAATTCATTTGAGGGAAGTGAAGTCAAAGGGGAAAATGTTCCCCATCAAATTTCACTATGGGCCACCGAATAAAAGTTTTTTGTATGCACACTATATATCACAAAAAACGGACATCAATTTGAGATCTGGATAAATTATAATATTTTTGGTATGCCATTGAATTTAAGCCAAATTCTCCCTCAGAAATTAATTTGAGAGGGGTGACCTAAAGAGAAAAAATATTCTCCATTAAATTTCACTATGGGTCACTGAAGAACACAAATCCCTAAATATAATACATATCGTTAAAAAATCGGTATCAAATTAAGATACATAAATTTTGTATGATTTTCATTAGCAATTTGAATTTAAGCCAAATTCTGTACCTAAAATTCATTTGAGGGGAGTGAAGTCAAGGGGGGAAATATTCTCCATAGTATTTCACTATAGGTCACCGAACAAAAGAACACCGTAAATACAAAATATAATGCTGTAAATATGGCAAATATAATGATAACACGGTTTCCAAGAGTTTGAAAATAAAGTATGTTAATATTTTTGAACCTACTGTCGTTTTTGGCCGAATTCTTCCCTAAAAATTAATTTTATGAAAATTGTCTCAAAGAAAAAAAGGTTCTCCATCAAATTTTACTATGTGCTACCGAACAAAAGAACGCTGTAGATATAATACATGGAACTTTAAAACGGTTCATATAACGAAAATATGTTGTAAAAACAAGAAATATATATTTTTAAGAACCTATTTTCGTTTTGGGTCCGATTCTCCCCTAAAAATTAATTTTAGGTAAATAATCTCAAAGGAAGAAATATTCTTCAGCAAATTTCACTATGGGTCACCAACGACATGATGTCCGTAAGTTTAATGGTTTCCACGGGAAATGGTCCACTGAAATCTTGTCATTATTCCTTTGACTCTCCCAGTGCTAGAGGAGAGTTTAATTGTTTGTTGGAGAGAATAAAGGTTCTGAGCCCTGCTAAGATGGTACTGTACAAACAGTTTTTAAAGTACTGTGCCTAAGGAAAATCTCCACTATTTAAGATAGCAACGCCACCACTTGGAACGGAAATTTGTAGAACTAAATTGATGGTGGTTGTGGCATTTGCTCGAAGAAAATTTCCATCCAACTAAAATGGGCAACAGTTTTGCTTGTCAGATAAATCCGATGGAAAATTGAGCTGTTCGGAAATTATTTTCAAACAGAAAATTTTCAATTTGAACTAAGAACTCCAACAAAAAATATCAAATTTTAAAGGCTTTAGGCTGCACTTGAACAATTCTTAAGTTGTAAGAGCCTCAAGAAATTCCGAAAATGTTCTTAAAAATCCTAGGTTCAAGGGTTCTTGATGTTTGAAAAAATCAAAATCAGATAGGCCATTGATTATTAATTAATTTTCTTGAAAAATCCTCAATTCCAGAGTCATTGGAGCTTGAATATTCTAAATAAGCGAAGGTCCTTAAAAACCCCAAAAGGAATTCATTGATGAAATCTAAAAAAGACAATGGATCATTAAAAAAATTTCTTAAACAAATATTCAATTCTCTCACCCCTCCCGGCTTGCTTCTTACTGCCTTCTCCTCCCACCTGGTGCTTGGGTACTTACCCATTTGTAAATCGCCTAAATTCTCAACCAAGGCCCAATTCGGTTGCATTTGTACATGATTTTTGTCGGCCAACAAACGTGTCACATGCCCGCATGTCATACGCTCATCGACCAGCAGCGACTTGGATGCCCCGTCCGAGGTAAAGGCCTTGACGAATAGACGGCGTATGGGTGCCGTTTCCAGTTTGTGTAGGGCCAACTGGATCTTGGCCGCCTTGGTGTTGCCGGAGAGCGGCAAAACAGGTTGATGTTGATGCATCATACGTTTGTGATGCAGAGCTGAGCTCATGCCCGACGAGGCTGAAGATTCGCTGGACAACAGTGAGACCGTGTCACTGAAGGCCGAATCATTGTCGGGCGATTCGGTGCGTGGCTCTCTCAGCTGGGTTGCAGTGTTGCCATTATTTGTTGTTGTTGTTGTTGCTGCTGTTGTCATCGTCTGCATCGAAGGATGATGATGGGCACTGTTGCTGACATGGCTACCGTTTTCCGATACACCCGATGAGGAACATAATGAATGTGAAGTACTGCTGCTACCGGCCTCCGAGGAGCCCGATATTGAGGTGGCCCCCGAAATGGTGGAATTTGTGCGTGAATGAGTTCGGGTCGAGGAGGGGGTACACATGGCCCCCGGCCCACCGGCTGCTGGCAGAAAATTGGCATCGCCCGCCGCAATTTGGGCCTCCAAAAGGCTTAGCTCTCCCAAGATGACATCAAGTTCGGACTCTTGTGTTTCTTCTAGATTTGCCATTGAAATGCGATACGAGTGAGAAGCTCCGCCACCACCACCACCAGTTTCACCACCTGCTGCTGCTGCTAGACCCGGGGAAGACGTCAAACAGCGATCCGAGAATTTACGTAGCTTAACACCAGCCGCCGCACCACCTGCTATGGCAGCGCTGGGCGAGGAGGATAATAGGCCTGTGGAGCTATGGAAATTATATGGATAATCTCCAATGCAGCCGCCGCCCAAACTTTGCTTGGAGGGACTGGTATAGCAACTGTTGCTGGTGCTGTTGCCGCCGGCAGTTGCAATGGCACTTTTGCCAATACTTGGACAAGTATCGGCTAGATTGGTGAGATTTTTAATCTGTAACGAGAGAGAAAAAAAATCATTAATCAAAAATTCATGCCTGATTTAAGAGGTTTCGGAAATAAATGAAATATAAAAAACAAAAACAACAACAAAACCATTAATCACCCAATTCAAGAGCATTTCAGAAAAAAAAACCACAACCTTCAAGGGTATCTGCATCGTTTGGAAAGGTCAACCCCAAGTGGAAAATGAAGAACAAGAATTTAAGAAATGAAAAACAAAACCAAGACCATGGCCAAGGCAAGGCAAAATGCATTGGAGCATTACTTCGGCTCCTCCCCCTCTTGATAGTTATTAACTAGTCTCCCCTGACTTGCAGTCGAACAGGCCAAAGTCAATGACCTACGACCCCAACACTTTTTATGTTTATGGCGATTTTTTACCTCTCTCTCCCTCATCCCCCACCCCCCTCCCCTCGTCGATAACAAATGTTTCCTGTAGTCTGGGATAGGTTATAATAGTTCTGGAACAGTTGGTCGTTTGGGTTTGTTTATTTGCCAGCTAGTGCCCTCTCTTCCCCCCCCTTCCCCTCCCCCTCTAGCTTAGAACTTTCAACTTTCTATTCAGTTGTTTTTTTTTTTTGTTTTTTATTATTTTAAAACTCTCTCTCACACTTAATTTCCCCTCTGCGGTTAAAGTTTGGTTAACAGTTTTGTGGTATCCAATGGGAAAATATGTGGGGGAGTGAGGACAACAGTACTGCCACCATTAAATATGAAACAGTGGTTTCGGATTACAAACGTATAGTGGGGGAGGAATGAAATTCAAGATGAACCCAAGAGGAAACCTTGAAACAGAAAACCAGTGACCTAAATTTCGCGCCTGACTTTGAATTATTGACAAAGGCCAAGGATAAAAATTCAGAGGACTTAGAACAGAAAATTATAGAATTTTTGTGGCAATAGGACTGGATATTCTTAAGCACAATATTTTATAGGCTAAGGAAATTATCTGAAAAATTCAAGAAGCCCAAAATTCTCTTCTACCCAGGAAAGAATGTTTTTTTTTTTTTTTTTTTTTTTTTGGATTTTTGAAATTTTTACAGATTTTAAGGGGCTTAGAACAGAAAATTAAAGACTTTTTGTATCAATAATAAAAGGCAATACACACACGTAGGACTGGATATTTTTCTACACAATTTTTATAGGCTAAGGAAATTCTCTGAAAAATTCAAGAAGACCAAAATTCTCTTCTCCCCAGGAAACTATTTTTTTTTTTAATTTTTGACTTTTTTTACAGATTTTTATTCCAATTTTTTACCAAAATTTCAAGAAATGCTATCCCCAATTTTCCAAACAATTTATTTTGTGAAGATAAATTAACTACTTCGGAAGTTATGACCTGTAGAACAATTACTGAAAATTTAGAAATTTTGCGCAAGTCAAATTTTCGGGAAATCTCCGGTATTTGTTGAGCTATATTCATAATACCTTAGGATTTTAAAGAATATGATCCATAATCTTCAAAACAATTTTTTTTTGTGAAGATACATCAACTACTTTAGGAGTTATGACCTCTAAAATTATTACCAAAAATGCAAACATTTTGCGCATATTTAATTTTGCGGATATCTCCGGTATTTTTTGAGCTATAGTTATAATATTACAGGATTTGAAAGTCCATGGTCCATAATCTTCAAAACTATTTATTTTGTGGAGATTTATCAGCTACTTCAAAAGTTATGACCTGTAGGACAATTACTGGAAATTCAGAAATTTTGCGCATCTCTAATTTTCTAGATATCTCCGATATTTTCTGAGCTATATTCATAATACTGCAGAATTTTAAAGAATATGATCCATAATCTCCAAAACAATTTATTTTGTGAAGATACTTCAACTACTTTAAGAGTTATGACCTCTAAAATTATTACCAAAAATTCAAGCATTTTTCGCACATCGAATTTTCCGGATATCTCCGACATTTGCTGAGCTATATTTATAATATTACAGGATTTGAAAGTCCATGGTCCATAATCTTCAAAACAATTTATTTTGTGAAGATACGTCAACAATTTTAAAAGTTATGATCTCTAGAAAGTTTAACAAAAATTCGGAAATTTTGCGCAAGTAAAATTGTTCACATAACTCTGGAATTTGTTGAGCTATCTCCAAGATCTCTCAAAATTTCTTAGAGTTAGTCCCGTTCTTGCCAAAACAATTTATTTTATGAAGATACATCAACGAATGTAAAAGTTGTAGCCCCCGGATCACAAACCAAAATTTTCAAAATTTTGCGCAAGGCAAATTTTCCGCATAACTCTGGTATTTGTTGGGCTATCTCCATTCTTATACGAAATTTCTTAAAATGTGGCACTTATTAGCCGAAACAATCTGTTTTATGAAGATACATCAAGTACCCCAAAAATTATGGCCTGCGAAAAATTAACGAAAATCAAAAATTTTGCGCAAGCCATAATTTCCGGATATCTCCAGTATTTGAGGAGTTACATTGAAATTACCCTCAGATTATTTTAATCCGACCTCCTCCCGAGGAAATTCACTGATTTTTGTCAAGAAACTCCAATCAACAGAGAGGGAATGCAACTTTTATTCCGATTGGCAAGTAGTAGAATTATTTTAGATAGCAAGAACATTTTTCTTAAATTTTAGGCGATTTTTTCACAGTTAGCATCACTTTTTCTACACATGATCTTGAAGAAGGAGGAGTCTGCTATTTATATCAATTTAATTTACATAGATAAACTAACTACATCAAAAGTTATGGCCCCTGGAAGGATTACGCAAAAATGATTGAAAAACAATGTAACTAACTAGGGTTTTTTGCGTTTTTCTTCAATTTTTTGGCGATTTTTTACAGTTAGCATTACTTTTTCGATACATTGTATTCAAGAAGGAAGCCTCAACTATGAAAATAATTTAATTTTATAAAGTTGAGGCAATTAATTCAAAAGTTATGATACCAGAAGCAATTACGCAAAACACGTAAAAAAATTCACAATATTTGCGCATGCCTTTTTTTCCCGATATCTCTGGTATTTGTAGGAATATATGTATATAACTCACACAGTATGGGAATCAGGTGTCCCTCTTGACAAAATAATGCAATTTATCCCATAAATCCCAAAGAGGATGGAAAATGTGCAAGTGGAAGGCACATTATAAAGCAAAGTTACCATATAATAAAGTAAAGACCATTTTCTTCATTTTTTGCCGATTTTTCAGAGCTATTACCACTTTTTCTACATGTCATCTTAAAAAAGGAATTCATCTTAACCAGAATTGATATAAGTTTCAGTGATACACCAACTATTTCAAAAGTTATGGTCCAAGGAGCGTTTGTGCAAAATTTTCAAAAATCCTTAATGTTGAGCAAGCCCCATTTTTCCGATATCTCTTAAATTTTTCCAGATACATGTACATAACTCGTACGATGTAGTAATCAGGTGTCTCTCTGTCAAAATAATGTGATTTCTCCCTGATTTACCAAACGAGAGAAAAGATATACCACTAGTAGTATCTATGTAAGGCGAGATACAATTCGGAACATAGGAGAGTCATTTTCTTAAATTTTTGGCGATTTTTTTCAAAAATAACCTCTTCCTATTGCTCGTATTATTAAAGAAGGTTGTCTACAATATTAAAAATAATTTATTTCACGATGATATCGAAAATACTTCAAAAGTTATGGCCTTTTGAGCAATTACGCAAAAATTCAAATTTTGCGCAAGCTCAATTTTCTCGATATCTTGGGAATTTGGAGAGATGTGGCTCTAAAAGTCGTAGCAAAGTTGCAGGGGTTATGTTTCTTTCCAAAAAAAGAGATTTTACCAAAAATCTCCGATCGGGTGCAAAGATATCGAACTTGACAACCTTTTGCCAACCTTAATCCATTTTTGTTAATTTTGCCCAATTTTTGGGTTATATTTTTAGGAAGAAGATACCGTTTTCTACGTCTAGTTTGAGTTGGAGGTGCATATCTATGAAACAAATTAAAATTATGAAGATATATGTAAAAACATATGAGATATGGTCTTTAGACAGATTACGCAAAAAATTGCCAAAAATTTGAAAATTTTGCGCTTGTGGAAATTTCCCTATATCTTTGGTATTTGGTGAGATATACAGGCAAAATTTGTGTTTTATGAAAGCTGAGATGTCCCTCTTTCCTATTCAAGGAGATTTAAGAAAAATATTACCGTATTAGGTAAAGATATTGATCTTTCGAATCAAAGGTCTTTAAATGTTACGTTGCAATTTCCTACGAACAGGATTCCAGTTTTTCGACCCTTCCCAACCACTGTAAGTATTTTTATTAAACGGCAGATTAAGCACGAAAAAAGCCTTCCACACCAGGTTCTTATCGTGATATGCCGCCAACTCTGTGCCAGCCAGTAAACGTTTAGTAATAGTAATAATAACAATGGGAAAAATAGAGGTTCAAGAGATGAAAAAAGGCAAAATGGGAAAATGACGAGCGGCCCTCTATTCATAAAACGAACAAAAATTAAATTTTCATATTTTCCCATTCTTTTGGAAATGGAAATGAAAGGAGTGTTTTTGTTTTGATAGTTGATTGTTGCTTTGGGTTCTAGGCTATGCCAGACGAGACCATGGCATGCCGATGAAGCAACGATATACAAAATATGAGTCCAGTGATTCCTTGTCAGAGAGGGGGGAGAGGGGTTGTAAGGCCATAAAATACCAAGGGTTGCGGATGGGGGTTTGCAAATTCACCCAAAAGTCTTCTACGGAAGTCATTGTTTTATGTTGTCCGAATTAAAACGCTACCCCGCCTGAACTTCCGTTTTAAATTAGAAAAATGTTTCAATTATTTCCAGTTGCTACGAAGGAGCTGTGGTGTTATAATAACAAACAAATTATAGCAAATTATCGCCATTTGTTTTTTTTTTTAAAGAGGGGACACCACTCTCCCATTGGAATATTACATCAATAATGTAATGGCAAGATTACATTTTCGCCGGTTGGTTGGCTTGGCTTGCTTCCCATCAATTATAGTTCAAGGTTGTGTGA